GCTTATTCTACTGAGCTATCTCCCCGGGCCCAATGTTTTTGTTTTTGTTTTGTGGTACTGGGGATTGAACTCAGGACCTGGCCCTGGTCAGGCAGGTACTTATGCCACTGAGCTATATCCCTAAATCCATTTTTTTTTCTTTCTAGTGGAACTGGGGATTGAACTTAGGCCCTTGCACTTCCCAGGCAAGCACTTATTCTACTGAGCTATCTCCCTGCCTCCTCCCTGTCATTTTCTTAGTGAAAAACACTGAATGTGAAATGGTACTGCTGTAGTTTGGGGTTTTGCAAGGGGAACAATACAGTACAAAATAATTATAAAATTATTTTCACCCAAAGAATTATACAAACTGTGCAAGAAATTTGTCCATACACTAAAAACCAAAGAATCTGACTGAGGGCTTGGTTCCCATGGTAATGTCCTACGTGAGTCCAGCTGAAGACCTGGAGCTCGTGACAGTGCCTCCTGTGAGTCCAGCTGGAGGCCTCGGCCCAGGACAGTGTCTCATGCCAGTCTGTTTCACAGATCTGCACTGGGAAGACCCAAAGGTCAGTGGGGAAGCTAGAAAGTCTGTGCCAGCGGGATGAAGGATCTGTTCTTGCAGGCTGAAGGATCTGAATTGGAGCCAGGAAGGGACATCCAAAGTAAGAACCTGAGCTCCTCCACAAAGTACCACAGCCATCCTCAGCAATGCTGAGGGCCTGAGTGCCTCTGGTGAGGAGGACTGCAGAAGCCCCATCAGGAAAGCCAGTGTGTCAAGCTTTTCCAGAAGAATGAGCCGTGCACCGTGTTTCCCTCCAGAGCCCAGAAATGATGCTCAAGGTGAGGACCAGAGTTCCCCCAAGTGAACCGTAGCCATTGTCTGTGACAAGGTTCTGAGTTCTTTCGAAGATGAGAACAGCCAAGTTCATCAAGAAAGCCAGAATGACAAGCTCTTCCAGGAAAACCAATCACGTCCAACAGCTTCTCTTCTTCCTCAGTTCTTCCTCTTATACTGCTGGCAACAGTCCTCAGGTGGGCCTCCCACACCCAGCACTGTGCTGACTCAGTTGAGCTGGGCATTTCAAGTTGACCACCTGTTGTCAATCCACCACAGCATTAGTCATATTTTAATCATAGCTATACCTTTCTTTTACTAATAGGTCAGACACTCTTTGGTGTGCTTAAATGGGTATTTTCCCACTTAGTCCTCACAAGTGCCTGTGAGGCAGGTAGTACTGTTATTTTCGCTTTGCAGATGAGGAGACTGGAGTGTAGAGGAGTGAGGAGGCCAACTCCAGCCACACAGCTGCAGCCCAACACACAGGATGCCTCCATGGTCTGCCTGCTTCTGGCCCAAAGAATCGCCTCCCATGTGGCTAGACTTGGAGTTGGAGACCTGGCGTCTATTTGAGACTGTTCCTTTTTCTGTCTCTATGGGTTTAGGCAATCCACTAAGTCAAAGCCTTTGCTTTGGCTTTCTAACCCATAAAAAAGGGATAATGGTATCTGCTCTATTTATCTCACAGGGTTTTTGTGAATATCAGATTGTGGAAGTACTCTGTAAAGCATTGCACAACCGGTTGGCTTGCTGGACTAGAGCCGACTCCCCTTCCAAACCCACAACACAAAGAAACTCAGCCAGCAGAGTTAGGCAACACTGGTCCCTGCAAAGGCCCATCTGCCTTCACTGAGCTTCAGTGGGGAAATGACTTGAACTCTGGTCACACCTGGGGTTCAGAAACTCACAGATGTGGTTGACAGAACACATAGAAGTCAACTGTAAGGGGGTTACTGGCATCCTCCACCCTTCAGAGATGAGAAAGGAAAGAGTTGGATCTTGTGAGCCGGACTCAGCAATAGCAACCAGCATCAGTGGTACTGCTGGCGTCCACTCCCATCCTCCCAGGACCCCCCCTAATCTACCACTCTGGAGGTCTGTGGGCATCCTGAGGCCAAGATGGGCTCTGAGTGTAAATAGGAACGCTGTCTCACTGAACTCTGTAACACTCTGGGCCCAAATACCCTCTTAGGAGTGAATGTGACCTTAAAGCCTTTTTGGCTGAAGCAGGTGGCACTGAGAGGCTGGCATGTGGGTTCCCAGCTTTTCCAGCACTGGGCGGCAGCTGGAGCTGACGCTAGCTAGTTCACCGCACCAGCCCTGCTGCCACACCTGGATCATGGATTTAGGAGAAACATCCCTTTGGGTATGCACAGAACACTCCAAGGAAAAGAGACTGCAAGAGCCAGCTCTGCTTACTTGAGCAAATGAGACCACGGAGCTGGAGGAGTTTTTGTTTCTAATTTTTAAGCACTGGCTAAGGAAGCATAGCCATTCAGGTTATACTATTCCAAATAATTATTATCTTATTGTGGGAAAGCAGAATTCACTTAACCTGGATTAAGTAACTAATCCACTGTCGTGTGGTATTAATCTCGCAGGCCTAGAAAGAGGGGTGCTGACTTTTTAAGGCAGGAAATAGTGTGGCGAGGGCTGGGGGTGGTGGCAGAGGGCGTGGGGTGGTGCCCTCTCTTTTTCATGAGTAATGTTTTTTCCAGGAGGATAACCTCCGGAAGTTGAATGAGAAAGCCCCACCCTTGGTTGCTGGAAGCAGCTTTTGTGCTTCTTTGTTCCTTTGGCTCTCATGATCCTTGGGTCTGACCACATAGCTGTGGGCAGAGGGTGGAGACAGAGCATCAAAAATAAAGGAAAGATGCTGGTTTAAAAACCTAAGATCGCCTGCATTTCAGAAATCATATGTAAGCCCTTCTGGGAACATGATTTTTGTTTCTCTTATTCTGGAGCAAGCTCAGACCTGCCAGGCTTTACTTTGTCTTTCTTTGTTTTAAAGTCTATGTGGTAAATACTGTGTGGTGTGAGAGAGTGAGTGTACCTGTGTGCATGTGTGTGTCTGTTCTGTAGCTTTTGACTCTTAAACTTTTTACCGGCAGCTCAGTTTCTGCAAGGAGGAGTTCCTCCACATTGCGCTTGCCACGAGCAAAGGACTCTTCTGCAGATAAGCATTCAGCATTCCCGCTACCATCCTGCTAGAGCTCTGGCCCCCTCTGAGTGGCCCCAAGTAAACAGCGGACTGATTGGTGGACCCCAAAGTGGGAGGTGTCATGCCATAATGCCTTTCCCCGGCTGAGTGTATGGTTAACACTGTGCTCAAGGAGAAGAAAGAAGGAATTTGGGAATCTCTGGGCTTATAATGGGCTGTCTAAATAGCATTTAAGAGCACAGTTTTATCAACAGCAGAGTCTAAATACATTGTCCAGGCAGTCTGTGGCATTGTGTGTAACAATCTAAATTACAGAGTCTAAATCCATTTAAACTGCCCTCGCCCCCCTCCCCACTTTTTTACAGTACTGGAAATCAAACTCAGGGGTGCACTATCACTGACTTACTCTTCATGCCCTTCTTATTTTTTATTTTAAGACCAAATCCAAGTTGCCTAGGTGGGACTTGAACTTGCAGTCCTTCTCCCTTCCTAAGTGGTAGGACTATAGGCTTACCACACCACACCTGATATACAACCCTTTGAAGGTGTTTTGATCTTTATCTCCTCTGACATTCCTTCCACATTAGGTTAGGCTGAGTTATGTTATGGTAGGAGACAATACCTTAATCTCTTTCAGGGCATCTTACATGCTATGACTCATTTACGTTACATGCCCAATAGATGTTAGTGTGGGAGTCCTACTCACCCTGGGTACTCGGGCCCTGGGTGGAGGAGCTGCTGTCATGAGATGTAATGCTGTCATCCCAACAGCAGCAGAGGGTGCAGGAGCATGGGAGCTGTGACTGGCTCTTAACTGCTTCCACTAGAATTACACACATTTCTTAATATATTTCACTGGTCAACATAGCCACATGGGGCCAGGGAGATAACTCAGTAGAATAGGTGCTTGCCTGGCAAGTGCAAGGGCCTGAGTTCAATTCTCCTTTCCTAAAAAAAAAAAAAAAAAAAAAAGCATAGCCACATGGCCAAGGCTCACTTCAATGCAACAGTAAAGTTTTATTCTAAGAAGAGAAAAATTGTAAGCAGGAGGTGGCAACTGCAATGTCCATTGTACTTTCAAGAGAGCATCCAGCTTAGTATGGTTTCAGATCTTACAACTCTTTATTCATGCTATGAAGTTAATCCAACAGAATGCAGATTTCAAATCATTTTGAACATCTTCCACACCCATGTTTTAGATACTCACCAAGTTACTTTGTTAGGCAGAGTGAGGGAAATGAAGCACACGAAGGATGTCAGAGCGAGAGCGAGAGAGAGAGAGAGAGAGAGAGAGAGAGAGAGAGAGAGAGAGAGAGAGAGAGAGACAGACAGAGACAGAGGCAGAGGCAGAGGCAGAGACAGAAGAATGAATGAGAATAAGAATAAATGGGTATCACAAAAGAAGCTCAAATTGCTTCAGTGTTCAGGAGTGACTGCAATTCCTTGGAACCTTTAAGAATGGCTTCAAGAAAATATTCTTGAAGAATGGGTAAAATGTTTTAATGTAAATCTTAATCTTCCTTCTAAAGTGGTCTTTGTCAATTTTATTTATGCAAATTATACAAATGGTTTAAAGATGAAGCAAAAATCTGTTCAGCCTGTAATCTTATTCCTTCAAAAGAAGCATCCTTAAAATGTGTGTATGCACTTGTACATACGCAGTACATGAACATTTACATACGTATGTATATGCACATAGGTACACATACACACCTGTGCAACCACTTTTGATAGTGGATAACGTGCCCGTGTTTGGCTGTCAAGGCCACAGATGATGAGTACGTTCTGCAGGCCACAAATGCATTCCAGTGTCCCCTGGACGCAGGAGCAGAGGCCTGAGCTGGAGAGAAGCTGCTTAGGGCTCCTGTCCATGTGCTGTATGGAGATGCAGTGGAGAGAAAATTGGGCTACGTCTCAGAGAATAGGCAATGCCGGGTCATCAAATCAAAACAAATTTTTAGTGGGTAATCATATAATTATTTAAATTTTAAATAACTCTTAAAAAAGGTTAACCTATTGGATAAAACTTGAAAAATACAGATAAAGTATAGACATGGAAAACACATTATCTCATGAAAGATGAAACTGTTAACACCTTGACATTTATATTTCTTGATCATTTTCAGTCCATTTTATTCTTCAGAATAAAATGAGATCCTAGTGTATACGCCATCTGTGACTTGATTTTTTAAAACGTAAACTATTATAAGGTCCTATTATTGAGAACATATATATATATATATATTATTTTCAGTGATAGAATTGCATTCTTTTATATGAATTTTATACACAGAAAATAAGAAGTTTGCTGGTCTGGCCAGATAGGTCAGCGGACTAAAGCGCCCGCTTAGGCAGAGCGCAGTGGCCGGGATTAGATCCCAGGTGTGCAATGCAGACCCCGCCCCTGGGGTGCGCTGAGACAGTGAATGAGACTGGGCGTGGTGGCACATGCCTGTAATCCCAGCACTCAGGAGGCAGGAGGATCA